GAGCTCGCCTTCACTCTGCTTTACAGAGCACTTGACTGGATTTGAATTTTATGCCATTGTGTCAAGGCAATAGGCCCATCTGTGTTTATGAACTCTCCTATCAGGGATATAGACATCTCCTCCTGTACCCACATATTTAGAATTCACTCAAGTTTCAAACCTAGCCCGAGTGTAAGCCATTACAGAAAAGATTTCAGGACTCTGCTGTAGACAATTTTGGTGATATCCCACAGGAGCTTCCATGGGCTGCACAAAAGGGTCAAATTAACAACATGGAGTTGCAAACAGACTGCAATTTAGCAATCCATTTTTGAGCAGCAGCCAGATCCAGGGACAAGCCAGCATGAATTAGCCTGGCTGGTAATATGAGACAAGGGACAGCCCACTTGGAGTGAAGAAAAGGCTTACAAATCAAACAGGATAAATCAAGACAGGAGAAACGGTCACAGGCTTTGGACGTTTATGACCTCGCAGAGGAACACCCCTTCGGGTTTTTGAGGTAAGGCACACTGTATCATAATCAACTGCCTCTATAAGGAGGAAATAAGAAATAAGTTGCTTAAAAACAACCCCAGCTCTCCTTGCTCAGGCACAAAACCAAACTTACTTATAGTCATCTCGATATTCAACTGTTAAGACAAAGCAAACCCTATTACTCCTTGAATATTTTGCGTAACAAAACCAGTACACTTGATTAATAAATACTCTAACCTGCAAACTGCTTCCCTAGAAAACGCAGCACAGAGAGGTCCTAGTCCTGCTCTGGACCCAGAAACTGTTTTTTGCAGTACAGCAACGCCAACTACCAGCAGTTACATCAGCTGCTTTTCATAAGCATCCACTCCCCTTTTCTGTAAGGGAAAGCCAGGCAAAAGTTTCCACAGAGAGATTTCATGATCATTCGTATTGCAACAGCATGAAAGACCCATGACACACTGCACTAGAAAACCCTGAGAGCTGTTGTCCTACTGATAGAGGCATTGCTAACACACTGCACTTAGATGTTTAAATGAGATATTTATATATCCTGCCTTAAGCTGGTAACCAAGAACGTCTTCTCCACCTACCCTCCAAGCCCACCTTTAAAGTTTTGGCCTCCAGGCCTTTTGGAGTTCATTCCTTTTTTTCTGCTCATCTCCAACCTCCTCACAGTCATATGACCTGGGGCGGAGGGGGGCCATGGAAATATTTCCAGCTTGTGCAAAAGACTGCTTTGTGTTTGTCTAAGCTGAGATCAGATGGAAACAGACTGGACAAAGGTACAGATTTGCAAGGAGCCTTGTTACCGCTCCCTGCTCCTCTCTCCCCACCAGTTTCACAGGACTGGCTTATATTCGCTGGGTCCAGTCCAGTTATCGAGACTTCCTTGAACTATAGAATAAATACTTTAGCTACAGTGCGGGGAGACAAAAGCAAAGACTGCTAAGACCGCATACAATGCTTATCACTGCAGTGCCTTCTTGCATTTCTAGTTTTAAGTTGTCAAAGGTAAAAAAAATAATAATAATTCAGTTTGTTTTTCTGCAACTTGCCCATTATGCTCCAGAGCATCTTATTCTTGTTGACCCTCAGCAGCCCCTTCTGATGGGCAGCTCAAACTTCTCAGTCTGCTGTCAAATCACACCTGTGTATAAAGCTGGTGCACCTGGGAATGCCTCCTTTCAAACTTACAACTCATTGCTGCTGGAGAGGGGAACCATGAAAAGGGTGTAGGAGCGGCTGCACTGAACAGAAATGCTTTGTTCTCACAAAAGGCATACGTTGGAGTTCGGAAACAAGTTGGTTTTGGCCTGAGCACAAGATAGGCAGGCAGCAGAAATGAAACAGTGGGCAGCTGACACTGGAGAGAGAGGTAAACGATGGCTGTTTAACTCTGCTTTCCCTTCTAAGCTTCATTAGCTGCTCTAATTGCAAGTTGCAGGTTGGAAAAAGCAACTGTCATAGATTTGAGAAGTTTGATTAATATACAGTCATAGGGGGGTTTTTGTTAAACCACTAAGGGATTATTCATAAGTGCTTGGACAGGAAGGTTAAGTGTAGATCAACTGGAACAGGCAGGTATCTGAAGAGATTAACGAAGTCTAGGGTGAAAACTCGGTCACAGCCTTGCATATCAGCGTAAACCAAAGGTTAAAAAAGGTCTAGGTGAGAATGAAGCATCAGATCTGTCACTGAGGGTGTTGTGATCTTGAGAGAGTCAGTTACACGCAACATGAGTTCGAACTCCAGCTTGATGTATATAATACATACAATGTTCTCACCAAAAGATCCACTGTCTTGCTTGCAGGAAGGCATCTTACTCTAGAGTTTTTTTAATTAAAAAAAAAGTTCTGGTGCTTTTACCACATCAGTGCAATATGCTTTATATAGGAAGGTGCAAGAAATAATATTAGAGTTTAAATGGATTCCCACACTGTGGTGTACAGGATCCTTTCAGATGACACATGGACCTGCAGAGAGCTGTCGCTGATCCTTCCCAGAAATTTGGGGGGGGGGGGGGGGGAATTATATATATTCAGTTTGGGAAATTCTGGTCAAGCAGTAAGAGTGCTTCCCTTGCAACACATCAGCCCTCATGCATTCAAACCTAAGTTTGTGATTCACAGCACAAGGGGACTCATGCAGGTGAGGGCTTCAGTCCCTGCTTGTTGGATTGCTTTAGGGAAGATAAAGACAAAAGCCAGGGAGCCAGAGAACGCAGGACTCCCTGCCGGTAGCCAACAGGGGGATAAGGCATAACACCCCTAGGAAAAGCACTTTCTGTCTCCCACTGAATTTTTTTTAAGAGTAAACATACAGGTTGTTTTAGGTATGGTCTGACCAAGCCGCTGAAAGACTCAAGCAGATAGACTAGCTTCCAGTACCCAACGAGACACGGGGCAAGGCTGATGCCAGACTGCTCAAGCCTGTTGTAACTGAGCTATTACTACACTTGTCTACAAACATAACTCCTAGGTGCCTTGGGAACTTTCAGGTCAAGACTCATGAAGATTCAGAAACTTAAGCATTTCCTGAGCGATGAGCCTGCCAAAAAAAGGAGGTCTTAGATATCTCTCTTCACACACCTCTGCCCTTTAATTCATATTTGCATATATGGCCATATGTTACTTCAGATAGTGGCTTCTTTGTCTTCAACAGCGCCTAGCTTTTTGTCATTTGCCTTTTTAAATAGCATCATATTCTCCAGTTTTGCTGGACTTGATAACTATCTCATCTCGAACAGCCAGGATTTTGCTGGGCTTTTCACTTTAAACGACGACAGGTTGTTCCTTCCCAGGAAACAAAGAGCTTTCATTTTAGATCACAGCAATAAATGTTACTTCTGTCAGTATGTGTATCCTGGATTTATTTAATAATAAAAGAGCTACATGACACATTGTCATCTTAAGTGCTTTTGAAACCGGAAAAGGCAAGAGCCTTCTTAGGTAGCAGAAAACAAAGGAATTTAGAAGTCAAGATCCAGGTAGATTTTCAGTAAACTCGGGTATTTGCATAAATCCTTGCTGTTGGCAGGTTGCAGGAAGTCAGTCACTGCACCACATCCATGCTAGAGCCTTAAAAGAGGCAAAGAATGAGCTTTTCCTTCATCTGCCCTTGGCAACAGGAACAAGAAATCACACACGCTATGCCAATTGCCTTCTCTGTTCCCTCCCATCTCCTTCTGGAGTCTTAACTGCAGCACTAGAGCTGACATTAACAGCAGGCACCCGCTGAAGCGGCGGCTGAACTGCCGCTGCTCAGTTTCTTATTAGACTCGCAGACGGCAATATGTGCTCAGTCTCCAGTTTCAATGTCAACTGGTCACTTACCAGAGACCGCAACCATGCTCTGCAGTACACTCCCACTCCACAGTCAAGCTTCTCGAGATGCCCGTTTGTGAAACTTTGGCACCCATTTGTGGTATCGTAATATATTAATCGTATGTTACCTTACCATGGTACTCTTCCAAGGCAATATCCGTTTGTCTCCAGCTGAAGACAAACTGGCTGGGTGCAGGACTCCTATGTACATCTTGAAAGACACCATCATAAATTCATGCTTGGCTATTCAAAGTTCCCAACATTTGTTTGAATAAACTGGACCTAGCCAAAGCAAGCAAGCTGTTCATCTCTTTTGCCATTCTCTAAATAATCCCCCACATCTGAAGGGATTAAAAGGAAAAAGTTTCACACGTTATATAAATCTTCCCCACCCCCCAAAATTCACAATTGCTCAGTCCTAGCAGAGACCTGAAAGATTAAAGCATGGCAAATAATGCAAGTATTTACAATTATTTGAAATTCAAGAGAAAAGAGAGGTAAAGCTATGTTAGAAATAAAATTAAAAAAAAAAAAACCCACACACTGAAAATCATGAGAAAAAACACCTTTCAACAATGTGGGGGGAGGGAACAGCATCAGTACAGGTCAGACAAACATGTACCTGTGAGGCGTCCTATGCAGATAAGGATTCTAACGTGCTGCATAATTGCTTAATCACAACAAATTATTTGTAGAGCTTTTTAACAAACCATCAGGGCATATCTACGAGGGATGACGCAGGTTCTTTGCAAAGCATAGGATCTGGGGCACAACAGTACACAGACACACACACACAGAGCTTTTTGTTTACTTACCTGCAGCAAGACTGAAGCACAGACCAGAAGTTGGGGTTTTCCCACCTCCTTAAGGAGTCCCACCACTGAACTTCACAGCAAGTACTATAACCCGGTCTGAAATACTGCCGCTCACATTAGCCTCAGCAACGAAACCTACTGTATGGGTCAGTGTTGAGACAGATTCCCCCCACCAGGCTCCAGTGAGATTAAAGCTAACTCTACTGACAGGTATTAAACAGGCATAAAGACAGGAGCAAGAGCTACCTTCGGTCCTTAACTCCTTTCTTCTTGATTGCCTGGGATTTCATCAACACTGTTCAGCTGGACCAATGAAACATACGACTTCCTTAATAAAGGAGACAGAACAAATTGCAAACCGTGAGACAAATACGTAAGTAGAAAGTGGTTTCATCAGTTTATTGCTTTCTGCAACCTGCACGTTGGTGCCATTTCACAGATGGTTGAGTCTGTGCAGGAGTATTTTATGCAGTATATACTACTATGGAGAACAATCTTTTATCACAGGCCATAAAATTGGCGGGAAAACAATCTAACCCCACATCAACATAACTTGAGAACTTGACAATAAATATAACACCTCCGAAATGCTATTGGCATTTACATCAATCGACTATCTTGAAGTTAGAGTAAAGTAAAAAGTTCTGGTGAGGGATCAGTTGCTCTGATACACGTACTTTGGGTGTATTCAGGATTTCCTCCCAACACACGCATTCTGAACTCTTCCAACCCTTTGAAATTTCACTAATATCAAATGAAATTAAGGTACTTTACTTCCAGTTTACATGCCAGGAGAAAATAATTAGCATGTTTTAATATATTAAACTAAAAGACTATCTGTATAAAAATTTTCACGCATGAAATATTTTTAAATTAAACAATTACTATACTTGCACAAAAACATGGACCAGAAATTTATTGCTAGTACAAAAATTCCTACGTTTCAAGGAGAAGTTAGATTAATATTATTGCTATAAACACAAACAGTGCCGGAGACAAGAATGTGATTTTCAGATTTGCTTATCATTCATAACTGGCTTTCAAGGAAGTATGGGTACATGGGACTTATGAAAGATGAGGTCCACAGCTTTCTTCAGAATTATGCTTTATGTTCTGATGTCATTTTATCGTCTTTCAAAATGGCCAGAGTCCTTCTGTTGCTCCTGCATTCCTATGGTATCATTCATTAGGTCTTCTGTCCGCAGAAACAAAAAACAAGAAAATCCCATAATCTTGTCCTCCCACATACTTTTTTGTAGCGTTTAACTCTATACTGTGCATATCTTAGCCAACAATAACAAAAGTGGGAAGGTTCACCACCTGGTGAGTCCATGACTATGAATAACATGTTCCTACTCCAACCTTTGATCAATTTGCTAACAAGCTTTCATTCCCAGAGAAAGCATTTTTCACAAACTGTAGATTGAGTAACAACACTACTCAGTGCAAAAAGTCACATCTACTACTCTACTAGTAACAAAATGAAAATAAACACCTAAACCTGGTCACAGGTCTGCACAGTCCAGTTTCTTTGCAATGCACAGATTTCCAGTCACAAGAACATGTATTTGTACAGGATAAAAAAAAAAAGCATACGCCGCTTTCAGCGGTCATCTAGCTTGCTACTGTATCATATTACTCACTCAAAGTGATTTTCTTCTTAACTTACACGTGCTCACCCAGTTGCTGACTTATATAAGCTGACCCAGGAAAACAAACAATTCTAACTCTCGCTCCAATTAAACAGCCAACACTAGAGTTCGTAAGGGTTATCAATGTAAACTAAGGCTCCAGTATCTGCAATTAATTACTCAAGGATAATAAACCAATGGAAGTTTCACCTCAGTCACAGACTATTATTGCTACTTGGAAGATTTATATATAATGGTGTTTTATGGAACTTGTGAAAGAACAGATAGGTCCCTAAAAGTAATTCTCAAGTCACTCTAAAAAAGGGCCCAGATTTTGTATTAATGCCGCTTCTTTAATAAGGGTAGTTGAACTCTGCTGCAAATCAACTAGTTGGAAACACATATCTGTGTCTGAAGGAATGAAAATGTCAAGAGATCTAGTTCAGGTAAAAGCCTCCTACTAGCTAAATCCTCTTATAACATACCTCGGGGCCCAGATATGCCTCACGATAAAGCAGAATGCTAAACCCAATGCATTAACACATCAATGATTTTAATGTCCAGCATGAATGCTAAAGTACTTATTACTCAATTGTTGCCATAATAAGTTTCTTTTCCTTCACCTCCGCTCCCACATTCCTCCTCCACCCCCAAAAAAATAAGCACAAAAACAAAAGAAAATAAATATTTGAGGGGAAAACACAATAGTCAAGTTGCAACAAACAAAAGACTCGAGAAGCATATGCCTTTCTTTTCATGCCATGCATGAAAAGGAGTCATACACCAAGAACCAGATCCACAAAGACAGTAGTTCAATGGAAAAAAAAAAAAATTCTCTTATGCTATTGGACAGCTCAGGCTAGCATTGTGCGCACCATATACATCTGAAAACAACAACTCTGCTTTTCTTCAGACAATTTAAAACATTACATATTTAAATGGATCTCTTTCCACTCAAAGTTGTATTTACATAGTTATCCACAAAAATGTGCAAAGTAAAATCAGACATCTACATAAATTTAAAAGTTCAACAAATTAAACCTGACTTTAAAAAAAAAAAAAAATGCCAGCAGAGATTCCAAGTCCATTTTATACACGCTTTAACAAACCACTGAAGACAGTAAAAGGGTTGTTCCAACCGAACCTCTGGAAAGTTAACAAATCCAAAGCATGCTGCACTTCAATCACTAGCTGTCTTTGATGCAGAATTCACAATGTATCCCACCAGTGAGGTCTTTGACAACTTTTTCTTTAATCAGTTTCTGCAGGAATTTTGTTTCACTTGTCACATTGTGCATAGTTTGTCCGTTCATGGCAGCCATGCAGAGGTTGTTGTAATAGTGCAAAGGTGTGCTGGGCTGATCGAGGTCATATCCAAATCCTGCTAAGCTCACTTCATCACATAAATGCGTGGCCAGAACAACTGCTGTGACCCCAATAGTGGGTACATTCTAAAAGGGGGGAAAAGAGTCTGCTGAATTCAGATATATTCTGCTTCGCCAGTTTCATAACACTTTATAGTATTTAATGGTTTTGTTTACTCCCTCTCCTCACTGTAGCACAGAGTAAAAGTTAAACCACATCCTGTCAAGGCAAGCGGGGCCACTCTTTCAGTGAGCAATGCATTTAAAACAATCACTTAAAATGGAACAATTAAAATTTCAGGGCCAAGTATCTTGCCTTTAACAAGAACTTTGGCTTTCAGCTCTACATTTTTCCCTGTGAACTGAAGGCAACATCTCCTATTTCTAAACAACTTAATTATAAGCAAATCCTTGCTCCAGCGCTTCAGTAACTGCTCATATGCTGTTAAAATTGACATTTCTTGATCTATGCTTACTTCAGTCTCGAGCAGCAGGCTCTCTAACAATAGCCTTCAGAATAGTACTTTTCACTGAACGTCCCTTGAAGAAGGCAAGCATGCTAAGATACAACTAAAAGATATATAGTTGGATTTATTACATTTTTAATAACCAAATATTGCAAAGTGAGAAGAATCTTCAAAGTGTTTGTGCAATAACGCTACCATGAAATGCTCTTACACCAACGAGGTGAAGAAGCAATGGTTAATATTCAGTATTCCTCTCAGTTCCAGAGAGCTGCTGACACCCAATTTCTCAGAGACGTTAGCTAAAAATTTAACAAAAAGATTTTTTCCTGCAGTGTATAATTAAACCAGGCGACTGACTTTATCCTATCACTGAAGCTAAGGATGCAGAGGGAGGACATACCCATCAACTGCTATTAAGCACACTGGTATGCATGGCAATTCCAACAGCTAGAAGGACCTGTCAGAGGAAAGGTTGCTTTACACTTGCTCTGTTTCCATACTCTCTCCGCACACACTGCAGTTACAGAGATACCTGTCAACGGCTGATCTCTGGTTTGACTTAACATACCTGCTCTTAAGTAGCAAACGCACTAGCGAATCAAATTGTATTTTGAGTATTTAACACCACTCACAGTGGCACGCGAATGAACTGTACCAAAATGATTTATGTCTTATTGCATTCAAATACTTTGTAAAACAGACGTCATGTCAGCTGAACTCATACTTTGATTTTTAATAAAGAAAGTACAAGCGTTTTTTGAAGGAGTTAGTTTCCACATTACTTCATACCAGCTCAGAAACTGCACAGGGGAACTGTACTGAAAGAAGAGCCCAAAACAATTTTTGGATCTTATTTTACTTTCTATTTTCATAGAACCTCTTTCTCCTGGAAGATAACCTCTTACCTTATCCCAACCCCAGAATTTTGATCGAGGTTCAGGGAACTGTAAAATGTCCAAAGCTGTCTCTTTAACGATGATTGGATTCAGAATCCGAAACTGTTTTGATGTAAAAGGAATTTTCGCAGCAACCTCCTTCCAAAAGAAGAGTCGCACCCACAGAGGCTAAGAGAAAGAAAAATTAGTTCAGTTTCCCTTTCCAGCGGGAAACTTTGACACTACAAAGTGTACAGGGGACATGACACACAAGTTACCAGAATTCATCTAAGATTATGAGAAAAATCAAGACACAGTTTACAGCTAAGATGGCACAGGAATATCAACATACAACTCAAGTGATTCGACTCAAAAAAGGAAAAAGTCTCAAACTATTTGGAAAAGCAGAGGGTGGGGGGGGAGGGGAAGTTTGTTCACGCTGAATATTTGAGTGCACTTTGTTTTTAATCAGCCAACCTATCCACCCGCTCCTCCAGATTCTCTGGATTTTCCCCAGCGCAACTGAGCAAGCAACAGGGGAAACGGGACCTCAGTTTTCCGCAAACATTAACCAGGGCACTCTGAGGCTAGCGCTGCATTTAAAACAATTTTGCTCGGGCTTTGAAGCAGACAGTTGCTGCTTGACAGCCTCCGCTAGTGATAAATACAACACTTCAGAAGAAGGATTTAAACAAGACTCAGCAAGCCAGATTCCCACCTCGCGCCACCTTCAGTCAATTAGATACATGCTAACGGAAAAACTAATACTAGATCAGGCTTGTTTTAAACACCTTTCCCTAGTATGTTTAATACTAAGCAAATGATAGAACTGATAAACTGATAAATGATAAACTGCAACATAGAGCTCTCTTTTTTTTTAAACAGGCTTATTTCTACACCAAGGTGCAACTCCGTAGCAGCCTATACTGATCAAATGCAGGTTGTTGTAGTCCCTTCCTCCCACCCACTCCCCTGAAACAGCTTACTTAAGTACCAATGCTTGCACAGGAAGGTGCTCCAGCTGAAAGCCTAACGTTTCAAAGTTGGTTTTCAGCTCAGTCCTTTCCTAAAGCTGACTTTCCACAAAGGCAGAAACACCAGAGAAAGGAAGGCGTGAATGGACAGGCGCTGATGGGAACGAGACAGAAGCATGGCAGCCTGGTCTTGAATGGATAAAAGTAGCTGCAGAATCATATATCCTTATGCTTCCTTTCAGCACAAATACAAGCATTTTGTTTAACCATCTACAGTACCCGCACAAGAAAAGAGAAAGAGCTTGGGGAAAGAACCGAGAATGCTGAGCCAATGACAGCACTAACAGGGCAGGGCAGGAAGACGGGAACCAGAAGCCAGAAGATTGGATTTTGGGATAGACAGAGAGGAGACAGAATTGCAATTCTGTTTTCTCCTCTTTGATTCCGTATTTATGGAATCTTTACGCACATTACTCTAGCTCTGCTCTTAAGACAAAGAAGAAAAAAATACTTTATGAAAAAAGTACATACTTCAGGCTTGTAACTAACTGAAAGAGGATGCAGACGCCAAAAGTAATCATTTTTCGATTCTCAAAACATAAATACAAAAAGCTGTCCTTGTGCTAGTGATTCTTTAAAAACAAATTTTAAAGGTGAAATAACTAGAGAGCTTGTACAAGCCAGGGATTCAACCCAAGCCAGAAAGTTGCTGGTAGGTGAAATTACCATACTCCTGCCGGTAAGGTCATGGGCCAACATTGCCTTACCCTTGCTAAAAATTAGTCAGCGATCAGTTCTTTAATTTGCACTTTTACACATTCAAGAGAGTCTCCTCTCTCCAAAACATACTCAGTTTATTCAGACAAGATAATCTCCTAGCACATACTCTCTGGACTACAGTAATAGATAGTTGTGGTCAATATTAAACAGATCTTCCATATGATTTAACATTATAAAAAAAAAAATCACAGAATTAAGAAGGGAATTTGAAATATCTAAAATATTATGGGTTAAATTAAGGAACTTGACAGGCTTTCTTCTAAATCTATCTCAAATGAAAGTTTAGAGCAGGTTTTTTTTTTTTTTTTTTTCAAATTTGTAGTTAGAAAAGGCTAGTTAGCAGTTTTCAACTTGGTGAAATTAAATGCCTGAAGTCTGAAAGAGGTCAAAACCCACAAATTTAAAGAGATTTTGGAAACAGGGAATCCTTCTATCAATTCTCTAAGAATCTCTGCATGGGGGAAATGTACTTCTTTAATTATTCAATAAGAAAGGAACAACTTCTTAATTTTAAAGCCACAGACAATGTGGATACTAACTGTGATATTTCAATTATACATTAACTGCATGTATGCCCACTGTAGCAGCACAGACTGCAGCAGTTTAAAAAAAAAAAAAAAAAAAGGGACAGGCCTCCGAAAATCTCACTTCTATTTCTGCTATTTCTGGCTCTGCAGACTTGAACAAGTTACTTGAGCTTAACACGAAACGAATTCCACTTTATTAAATGTTCAATGTCATGCAGCTTAGTGACTGTAAACCACCAAAATAACAATTTTTTAAATGCAATCATCAGCATGTGGCTTTAACCTGAATGCTGGTACTAACTGTAGCTAGGAGACATAAAAAAATGTATATAAAAGATACTCAGTATAAACCAGGAAGTAATGGTCAGTCCATTAGTTCAAACATTAGAAAACAAAAATCAAACAAGAACCGCAAGTATGGAATACCACCCCTTTACATACCAAGGTTTCATTTTTTACCATTGCTTGAAGCCAGTTGAAATCGACACTTTTAAACAAAACAGCCACAAACAAGCTAGCAGGATGATACTCGCGTTCAGAAAGCGGAGCTCCTTCTGGATAAGTCATCCTTATAGTAGTTTTATTACCAACATGATCTGTGTATCCTTGAACTGGTGCATCATTTAACCTAAAAAAATTTAAAGATAAGCTGTAAATTGCACAGGGATGCAACTTGATTAAAACGTTAAGACATTAAGCAAAGAACTTGTATTTGGCCCACAGCTTTTTATCAGAGTGGAGCACAGTGTTTTCTCAGTATCTCCATGTTGCTCGCCTCATACACCCATCCACCTCTTATCTTTGAGAGGCAGCCAACTCTATTTCTGGATTAACTCACAAGTGCAAAACTCTGAAAGGAAGAGCTTGAACAGAAACGTGTTTAAACCAGCATTGCAGAACTTCATCTTGCCCTGTGCCAGCTCAGAGAAGCTTAAAAGGAGAAGGAAAAGAAAACATACAGGAAGTTTCCTGCATATTTTCACATTATCCCTTCGCTAACACACAGGGCAATGTAATGCCTCGTGTGGTCTTGTACCAATCCGGCTCACCAGAACTTCAGATGTTAGCACACTGCTGACAAGAACAGCATCAACGAGCTCATCAGCTCTGCAGAACTAACAGTGAAACCTTACAACCTCATTTCAAAAAAAAACCAGTCACCTCCACACTCTCTCTCACCCATAATTTCAAACAGCTGTTAGTGCAAGTTCTCTGCCCCTCCCAACGCTAAAAGATACACCTACCTTTGTAGAAGAGATATTCACTCACTGTATCAACTCCTTGTTTTTGAGGAGGAGCCAGTTTTGGTTTACAAAAACTATTTGTCAAAATACTTGTATTAAGTTTATCTTTGATTTTGTACAATTCAAAACACAAAGAACAAGGGTTCTAACTGTTCTATTCAGAAGGCAGGAATTTTTTTTTGTCCAATTGCAGATATGTAATTATTTGTCCAATACAGACATCAGACAACATGATCACAGAACCATACACTATTCCTGCAAATATAAACAAAGATTAGCATGTCATAGAAGTCTGTCAGCAAGCTGCATACTGAAACTATTATTCATTTTTACTGTGCTTGAAATTGCTGTTATAAGAAAAAATACTTCAAGTAAGCATCTCAAATAACCAAGGGGAAGAGGGCGGAAATAAGTACTAAAGCCAACCTCAGAAAGCTTAAGCCTATGAATGGATAAAACTAGATCGTATTTCGTCTACGATTTCATTGCATTCTAACTCATTTCTGCCCGTGTCTCCTGATAACGGATGTCTGAAGCCCACAAACAATTACACTGAATTCCTGCCATCTGACTATGACGATTTGTTATTTTGCTCCTCAGACTTTGAATCCTATCGAGTCACAAGTAAATTTCACACAAGAGCTTACAAAAAAAGAGTCTTGTAAGCTGCATAAAAAGGTGGACGTGCTTCCCCCTTATAAAACAAGTCTGCTCATAAAGCAAAACTGAAACAGTTGGAATCCTTAAATTAAAGGGAAAATATGTACCTTATAACAATATCAAACTGATTCAATAAGTGACCTAGCTCTGAGCCATGAAGGATTCCACCACTGCCAATAACAACACAGCGTTTACAGTGTTTTGACTTCAAATCTTCTGGCAAATCATGCTCAGGTAAGAGTTCAAGGAGATTTTGAAGCTTATCAAAGAACTTGTGAAATCCAAAGGGAGGCTCATATTTAAATAAAGCTTCATCTTCCTTTATATTTTTTCTTACAAAGGGAGATATGTCCATGCTGTATTTCTCCGCAAATAACTTCCCCATTTCCTTCTTTGCATAAGAAGGTCGGCACTGTCCCTGCAACACAGCGCTGGCATACTGTTGTGCTCTCTAAAACAAAACATACAAGATTACAGTCAGAAAAGTTAGTTTCAGTAACAGAAATAGCCCTCCCAAAGCAACCCACCAGGTGACCACCATCACTTTACCAAACACAGACTTTTAAAAAGAAAGCTTAAACCAGGAAACACAGGACATCTCAAAGCACTTATAACAAGACACTAGCCAGTGCAGGGTGAAAACCCGCAACTGAATGCCTCTCCATCTAGTCATTGTAAATCTGGGTAGGAGCTTTTCTAAAGAATAAGTTCAGTTAATGAGAGAGAGAAGTGAATATGGTACCCTTCTTATAGGAATGATCTGCTTCATGAGCAGTTCGAGAAACTTTGTACTGCTACTTATAAAAACAAATGAAAAACCTGAATTACAGTTACCCATCTAAAGCAAGATCTAAGACAGCAAGAGGAATTCTACTTCACTGCTCAAACGTGCAATCTGAATTCTGACTTCAGTAGGTTTCTACCAGACACGTCAGCTGGGAAAAAAGCTGTATAAAATAGCATGCTGGATTTGTTTACAAATCAACATGAAGATACACTTTTTCTAAAAGTATTGCTAAAGAGGTATTTTTAATGACTAAACATAAAATTAAGAGGAACGCAACAGGGGGATCAAGTCCTCTTTCAAAGAGGACTCACCAAAATAAAAAGACTACAGTACTGCATCATCTTAGCTGAATCTATTTATGCAAATTATACACTGATCTATCTCATTAGAAAAAGCTATTCATGCACATTTTTTAGGTATCTGTAGTGGTAAGCTGGTACTTGAAATAAGGAAGAAGAGAAATAGCAAGGTACTGCTTTTATCACTTCCAAAAAGTCCTTTGCGTCCTCTCTTTCCCCCCCCAGTACGACCCTGCTCCTCTTTCCTCCACTTTAATTAAGAAACTTTAGAGAACAAAAGGCTGAGAGAGTAAAAATTCAAATCTTGTGCTTACTCGGTTCCCCTTCAGTACTGTTAAGAAAAAGGGTAGTCTATGTCTGGGTGAGTGAAATGGGGCTTTGGAGGGATAGTACAGTGGGGGGTTTTTGTTTCTAAACAAGACTTCTGCAGAACTGCCTCACGAGGACAAAGGCCTCAGGAAGTCTAGGTATATGAACACCACACTTTTTCCCTAGGCTAAGCATGGCTGAACAACTTCATGACGTGTTTTGACAGCAAGACTCAGCACCTCTTCAGAAGAGCCTCATTTCTAAGACTAACAGTTGTGCAGCCCATTAGTGAAAAAAAAAAATCGGTGCCTGTTTGTGTTGCTAGAAAAGACGGAACAAGTGCACAACTGCATAGCTCTAAGCCTACTTTCATCACATAGTAAGCTCTTTCGCTGGGCAGCACCATGATAAAACTGCTTACCAAAGATTGGTGTCGCATTGTGCCAGTCACCAGACAACTGCCCAAACAGTTTACAATCTGCTGCTACCCAGCTAGACAAAGAGCCATACCATTCCCCCATCCTGCATCTAACCCAAACAAAATGAACCACAGGACAGCAATAAGCACAGCCCACAGTCTTTCGGTTTGCTTGGCATAGGTGGCTGTTGTCTGCAAGCAAGAACAGGTTCCTTACAAAAGCAGAAAGTCAAATGAGAAGGAAAAAGGAGGCAAAGAGGCTCAGAAGGGAAAAAACGTGCACTGAAGGAGAAGGGTGGGGAGAGGATGCACATGCAGTGAAGTTGAGATGAGTCATAAATCAAGGCTTCCTCTCAGAAATTGTGTCTTGGTGTTGAGATGTTCAAGGACAGAAATATAACAACTCAAAGCCAAGGCAAGTACAGCATGAGAAAGAACAAACATAAGTAGGAAAAGACAGAGAAACGGCAGCAAGAATTACAGAAAGTCTTACAGCCTTCTATTACACAAGCTTAAAAGCCACATGCAAAACTCTGGTTGAAGCAAGTTATCAGCTATTAGGGGGGGGGGGGGGGCAAAAAAAAATCCCCAAGTGCTTCAGCTTCCTGCACAACATTTGCCCCATACTTCCAAACATCTGAGCAACTGCAAGACAAAGTAGACTGGGGAACTGCTTTGGAGTAAAAGAAAGTTTTGAATTGAATGTGGGTCATCCCCTCGCCATGTGTTTCTTGTATTCAGGAAATCAATGCAAATAAAAAGAATATTTGCATTGACACAATGGGAAGATAATGAGGCAGGAGTATGCAAGATCACTCCTTAAAATGCAGTGACAGCTAAAAGCAGGGGTGAAACTGGTCTTGGTGACAACAACTTCAGTCTGCCTCCTCATTGTAGCATTCACAGGGTGGCAGCCAGGTACCTCCACCTGCACTGGCACACCATGCCAGGGAGATCCTGTGCTGAGGGAACAGCAGCCCTTGCCAGACTTCGTAAATCTGTAGCACTGAAACATTTCAGATGTTTCTCTGTGCACTTCTCATTGTCACCATTCCACAAGAACATCACACAGAGGTTCTACAGGACAAAATGACGCAAAATATATTTGCCTTCACAGGATGATTTCAACATTCAACTCCTTCGTTACAGATCCTTATAACTCTTGTACGGTGCATTAATAACAAGTTTTTAAACAAGTAAAAAACATCAAACCTTTACACGATCGAGATCCACATATGGCATTTTTGTTCTGTCACATTCTTCAGGGTCAAAATGTAGTTTGAGGATATAAAGGAAGCACCCTCCAATCACAAACAGTACAAAAAGTCTGAAAACAAGCAGGTATGTGTAAGGGATGGGGGAAGAAAAAAATATATATAGATATCTATATCTACATATATATATATATATATCAATTTTTCCAGCAGTTAACCTACTGCTAAATGAGTTATTTTTAAACAAATTTAAGATGACTTAAGAACTTCAGACATACCTGTATTCAATTCAAACCACTAAAGCCTACAGCATTGTGTGCTGTAAACTTTCCAAAACTCTTCAGCGATATCTGCAGAAGTGCGCTAACCTAAATAGATGCTTTGATATGGAAACTGTTCAAAGTGTCAGTTTGATTTTATACAGTTCTACACCTGCATCATAAGAACCATACTTAAAAGTGTATGTGTCAACAGATCTCCTTACAAAGGAACCAAAAAATGACTGTTTTTTCCTGTCTCAAAGGGCAATTCTATTTTGAAATACATAATTTCATGCAGGAAAACACAACGAAAAATAACAAAAAGGATAGAATTTCAACTTGCAACGTTTTAGGCCAATGGTCACCACTTGCAAGTAAAACTCTCTTAGCTCACTGGGAGGCCAGAACGCAGATTTAGGTGACCAAGTTTATATTGAGAAGTCTTATTTATTTATATTCTCAAAACACTTAGGGAAAAAAATCCTTTAAAATTGAGTAGCGTAAGCTATCTACACTTTTGATCCGCTTGTTTCTCATTATGAAAGAATCTCACGATTCATCTCCAAGTATTCCATGGGCTCATGTCATGTAAACGGCTTTAACCACATAATGACATAATTCTTGCAGAGCTGTGACTGCACTCAGCATATGTAGTGTGAGTTTTATTATTGCTTTTCATATTGGAATTTCAAGTATTTCCTATGATTTTCTAAGGACTGGATATGTGTTTCACTGTCTTAAAAATATGCAAGCTACCAGGTGTTTGGTGCTTCTTGAAACTTACTCAGGTGAACCTAATACAGGTTTCAGAGATTAAAAAAGCCCTTGTTGCTGACCTTGTCCATATTCTTCAACTTCTGAAATGCCTGCTCCACACTAAACCACATTTACCATACCGATAATCTCCAAGTTTCAGTACTCCACAGTAAAAGGATATGTACCATATGGGCTAATATACAGGATTCTGGCAATCATTCATAGTTTGCAGCACGTGCCACAAGGAGTATAACGATGAAAAAAAATCTGTCCAAAACTAACAAGGTGGCCACTGGAAAAGAAGCACTATTCTCACATATAATTTAACTAATTTCAGTTTTGCATTGATAGGGATTTAAAACCTTCCTTAGCATGTCAGGCTGCATCTCCTGTAAATTAGCTGACCTAGCAGACATAGGGGATTCACAGAAAGATGAATGAGGCTGCTTTTCCTCTGCAAAGGTTTAACAAGTATCTCTAGACTAAGCTGAGGTTGCATCATTCAGGTGCTCGAAATACCACTCAATCTACCAGTTTGGTCTTAAGTTTGTTTGTTTTTTTGTTTTTTTAAAACCTTTAAAATCTAAAAATTCAAGTCACAGAGAAGTATCACAGTAGTGAGGTGCTAGTTTTAAATGTGATTTTGGATGTATACTTGCATACACTTACTAATTCCAACATGACGCTAAACCACAAGCAACAGAGCAATAAACATTTTGTGATGTAACACTTTGGAAGAAAAGTCTTCATAAACAAGTGAACTGTGAGGGAATACACTCCTCCTCCTCCCCCCCCAACATAAACAAACCTCCGCTGCCCTTAATTTTCATCAATTATCAGACCATACAAAAGCCTTGGCATTTCTACTGATCCGGAGTACTTGTGACTAACGTGGAATCTCACATGAGCTGGGAAAAACTGGTGATACTACAAGAGAGATTGGGCTCCTCAAAATGTTTTACCCCAATGAAAACTATGTGCCTAACCTTCCATTCAATTGCTCTAGAAATCCCATCTCTTGTTTTCTCTATCTTTTTTTTTTTTTTTTTTTTTAAGAAACTGACCAGACTAGGGGGAGAGCAACTGTCCTTCGCATCACCATGACAATGACACTTACTTGGGAGTACCTTTTAAAAACCAGCTTGGTCTTTTCATCTTTGTGTGCAACTATCTTACACCATTGCACAGGAGGTGAACAATCACTTTTCAACTTCACACAGTTATTGTCACTCAGCATTGCTGTAGAAAGAAAAAAAAAATGTTTTATCACAGCTTTTTCGGAACAGAAATCATTCAGAAGGCATCCAATGACTACTAACTTAATCTGTTCCCCAGAGATTTTACTTCTTGCTTATCCGATCAAAAATACTGAATCACTTCTGACTTCCTTATGATTAAGGATATACTCATTTCAGGTGCACTGCTAGGAGATTATTCTAAAAATATGCATCCTTAGTGTATGTAAGGTCCCTGAATCAAGAAGCCCAGCAGAGAGAACTCCCCTGAAAACCAGAGCCCACGTCACCAATCAGGGAGATTCACAGAATCACAGAATGACCAAGGTTAGAAGGGACCTCTGGGGATCACCTAGTCCAACCCCCCTGCTCAAGCAGGGTCATCTACAGCACATTGCACACAATTGTGTCCAGGCTGGTTTTGAATATCTCCAGGGAAGGAGACTCCACAACCTCTCTGGGCAACCTGCTCCCTAATGTTAAACACACCTGCTGCTCATCATAGGTCTGAATCTGTTGACCTCCTCAGGAGCCCCAGAACACAGGCAGCAGAACTTCCGCAGCAGGGACCAAAGCCAGCATACAGGAAAATTGCCCCTTCTGTGCACGGCAGCAGCTCTCTGCCTTATCGATGCTGAGCCTCACAGGAGTGCAGAGCCCTGCCTCACACACAGACAAGTTCCTGATCATTACCTACCAAGCAATAATCTCATCACTTTGCCAGGAGACTGCTTCTCACCTCCCATGAGTTTCTACCAGCATGCTTCAATTCTGATTTTGGAAAGAAACATGCAGCCAGGCACACCAACTTTTCATAGGCTGTTGCCTAATTATCCTAAGATGGGAACAAACAAGCAAACACTATGCAAAGCCTACCTATGTGAGTTTTCTTTCTTTGCACTGAAAGGAGAAAGAATACAGGCAAGGATTTTTCTTGCCTTACCAACCTCCTGAAGCAGACCACCCTTAGATTAGACAACTGTGGAACAGTACAGATTGGCTGAAATCCTCCATTATGAAGGATCAGACTTTCTCATTCCCTCTGATATTCTCTTCTCACTTAAATAACCCTCTTCGCTCTCCACCGCACAGGCACATCCCTATTCTTCCACTCCCTTGCCGAGAACTGTCTCAAGGACTTTTAAAGAAACAGGACTAAGAGAAGGCTATTTTAGCTAATGACTATTTTCCCCATTCTCTCTCTCTCCCTCTCTTACCCCATCTCCTTTCATTTAACATGGAGATATTCCCCATGTGAACTAACCTGTATTGCCACTTTAAACCACTGTCTATTTGAGGTAACTACCAATGGATGTTCTTAATCACAAGGATGTAGAGCTGATGAGGCAGAAGGGTCCCCTCCAGTCATCAAATCCAACCTACTGAAACACAGAATACCTACATTCAGAAGATAACACAAAGTTTGACGCTGTTCACGCTGCCACACATCACTTCTCAGCAACAAATCTCAGATGCATAAAAGGTTAAATGCCAAAAACTGTCATGACACAGGGCAGAACAAGGAGAGATCAAGATTAACATCAGCATCTAAAGTTCTCTGAAGGGCAGACAACAGTTAAGTGATGCTTTCTGGAAGCATCTGCAAGTGGCCATAACCCACAAAACAGAGCAAGGCAAAAAAAGACTAATGTTTTTTGCCAGCAGAAAGCTCTTCCACCTACCTCAAACATAGTAATCCCATAATAACCAAGCTACATAAGAACTCAAAAATATCTAACTGTGTGTGTTAACTGCACAGATTCTCTGAGCTGTCACAGCCTTTTGTAGGGCTTTGTCACAAAATAATACTTCACCCTTAAATAATGGTTTTTTAGCAGTAGCTCTGAAAGTACTCTGCAGAGGTCAGTAGCATTAAGTTTGTCGTGGGACGGGATAAACTGAAACCTGAGGGGTAAGTGACTCTCCAAGTTTCCCCAGAATGCTAATGGTTAAATTGGAAACCAAATCCAGCTCCAAGTTCCTATACAATCTGCCAGGACACATGACAGCAGATAACAGTCAGACAGGACATAGTGATCCTATCCAGCACAACATCAAGCCTTTCAAGCTCATCATCTTCTCAGAGCAGTATCATGTCTTTACTGGCTGCACCTATACCATTGAATAAAAACAGCACCAAGTAGCGAAACTCGGCGTTGACCCCTCCTATTCATCTGCACTCCATATCCATTTTCCTCCCAACTAAGAATTGCAGCAAACCAATCAAATCCACACAGGATAAAGCCTAGTGTGCATCAGGAAAATCTGCTGCAGGGACCATACCCCATAGCCAGGACGGAGCACCAGGTTTAACTGTTCCACCTTGGGACCTCCAGCACTATCCCAACAGGACTTGCACGATCACATTATTCTCCAGGATAGGACACACATCCTTCCTATCATACTTTGCCGAAAGACCACTAGGCACTCCTCATCCTTACTGAAGGCCCACTGGGCCCACTGCCTTTGAACAAACATGCATTGGGTATCACACAGGGATCATGAGTGACCAGAGGTTGCCAGTACGTACAAGGAGCAGCCCCGATCGTGCAGGCTAGGCCCTGTAGTCGGTCACATGCTGCACATGAAAGTGTTGATTACAGCACGCTAGAGAGCTGTGGAAGGGAGTGTGCAGAAGATGTACCAAGTCCAGGGTTGCCCCAAGTACCACAAAGAACAGACACAGTCAGATCACCCTGGAGGAGACCAGCTCAGACCAGCCTATACGAGACGCACTCAGCACTATTTGACAAAAGGGCAGGGGATCACTCCCTGATTTAGATGGCTTTACTACATAAGCATAATCACCGGATGTCACATATGCCTAAGATGCAGCATACAATAAAATAATTGTAGTTGCCAGTACACAGCGTCTCTGCATACAAAGCTGGGGAGAAGTGTAAATGGGACTTTTTCTTAAAAACAAAACAAGACCAAACCAGAAAATAAAAACAAGTTTCAGCAGTTTTCACTAGGGAACAATGCAGGTAATAATTATTCCTCGCGTAAATAAAATTGATCACAGTCTACAGGAACCTAGATCAGAAAGAATTCTGCATGAAAGAATCAGCATCAGACTAGGTATCAAAGGATCCATCTCAAGAGTGAAAGATAGATTCAGACAAAAGAAAAAAGCTATACAGAGAGAACGTTAGAAGGTCCAAGTGAGAAGGAACCTATGATATCACTTAATCAACTGCTGTGAAGAAACCACTGCAACCACTTACCAAGGGACATGGCGAGTTCTGGCCCTTGTAATGGTAAAATTCATGAGGAGATGTGCTCCAGATTAGGCAGACAGTATATCCAGAAGTTTCAATCAAACCCATAAAGTTTTATGGCTTGAAGCATTTCACAGGGGCGGTTTCTGTTCCAAAATCACCGCCCCGGGGCAGGCAAGGTTCAGACCCACAGAGCAAGTGCTTGCACAGACAGTTATTGCGAGTTGGTAACTCTCTCTGTGCAGGAGCTTATTCAGGCAACCAAAGTGAACATCTGCACAGGGGCAGTTACCAGCACCCTGTAACTGCACAGGCTCTTACCTGAATCATGGGAGAAGCTGCCCCACGCAAACCATTGCTGAAAGCCCAGTAGGGCAAGAAGAACCTTTTGTTCTACAGTTGCACAGCATCTAGCACAACACAATCTCGGACTGTGCCTGAAGCTCCCTGGAGTTGGAAATACAAGTTAACTTTCTCTGTCCCAGTACTGCCAGAAGTACTAGAAACAGCCAGCCTTCATGGCTTATCATCAAGACAGTCCACTTAACAGCGTTGCTGCACAATAAAACCTTGTAAGTTCCTGTAAGAGGTTCATAAAGCTTGCAGTATAAAGTGTGCAGAACTGAAAACTGAAAGCCATATCTATATAAAGAAATTACTAGTCAAGAGCAATAGGCCTTGAACAGGCAGTGAAACAGAGGCAAAACTAATAAAAAAACCCCTGTTCATCTCATGCCCTCTCCTCTAAGTCACTTAAGAAGCGTACCTTCAATAGTAGCAAACGATAGAACGAAAGCTACTTGGTTTCAAGTAACATTTATGTTTCAAAAAAAGAAAGGCAAAAGGCACAGAAGGAGTTTTCATACAGAAGAAACGTCAACAAAATAAAGCTCCTCTTAATCTAGATATTGTGCACATTATCAGCGGTGAATTCTGCATGGATTTCCTGCTCAAGATTTTTTGTTTGTTTACCCACACAAAGCTTTATGCAAGGAAGAGTTACATTGAGAGGAGAAAACTTCAGCTGATCAGGGATTGTTTCCTGCGACATATTTCAAAAAAAAAAAAAAAAAAGATAAAAACTATGCAACTGCTACAACATTAACCTCTGTGATTACTTGGAAGAAATGTGCCTATGAAAAAAGATTATACATTTCATCTATCCTCATTAATATGTAATACGTCTCTTAAATCACTAATCTCAAAAGCCTTAATGAAGAGCAAGATTTGAATAAAAGGTTGTTAAGGTAAGCCGCAACACGACCAACAGTTTGATTTAGGATGATTTTTGTCTGTATTTGCGCTACTGAAACTCATAGAGATTAAAGAAGATACTGACTAACACTTAGAAAAAAACAACAGGGAAAACAGTTAACTAGGGTTGTCTGGTTTTTGGGGGGTTTTTTTGTTTGTTTGTTTTTTTAAAACCTCTCCTCTACTTAAGAGCCATCTGTTAAGCAGAGCTTTTCTACTGAAAAAGACACCTAAAAAGTAAAAAATTTAAAAAGGAACTAGCGATAAAGTTCAGCTTCATGAAAAACACTAATTCAGAAAGCATAACTGGCATTGAGGAAATGAGGTACACTCACAATGGATGAAAGTGCTCGTTAGGAATACAAGAGGTATTTTGTGAAAAAGTAAATAACCACTTTAAGCTAGTGGTTCAAAGCTTTAGAAGGATTCAAAAGCACTCCATTACTTTTTCCAGAGAAAACCAAGTCCGGAAAAAATATGCTATTCACCTAAACAAATATGTATTACTTTTTATAAAATTTTTTTGCATCCTACAATGCAAGCTCTGAAATTATTCAAAAATATCTAGAAGTGGCAAAATCAAAGCGGTATGAAGGGATTAAGTAAAGTAATTATATTACTTACTATTTTATATGCTTTACAGGCAATAGCAAGTAAGAAAGGTATGTCATAAAGCTCTAACTTTCCAGTAGAGCTGCACACCATACTTTTCAAGGAGTATTAATAAGTCCTTTCAGTGTTATTCTATCACAAAAGAATTTGCGTAACTAAATATGCTACTGTAATTCTTAAAACTGGAAAAAGCCAAACCCATGCAATTTTTACTTGACCCACAATACTAGCAAACTACAATGAGATTTTAGCAAAAGTACTAGTTACACAATTGCAATTAATGCCCTTGTCTTATTAAAAAAGTGATTAAGGATAGCCAGATCTTGAACACTTGTAGAGTATCTGCCTAGAATTATCCATCCACCAAAAGTACTCTCTCTCTCTCTCATCACTAGACTGAAAGCTTTTTTTGTATGTTAAAATGAAATTTCCTGTTTAAAGTTCTGCCTCACTCAGACCCTGACTCCCCATGTCCTTAAGTGGATAACTGTGCTTTCCACTGCCGCAAAAGCTCCTTCCTAAACAAATACATCATATCTAATTTCAATAAGGACATTAAGAAGCTGACAGGTATGTTCACTGTAAATTTGAAAACCAAAGGAAATTATCTGCCCTGAAAACAATCAAATTTCAAACAAATTCAAATTCCAGTGAAACACCAAAAATTTAGCTGTGACATGATGGATGCCTAACTTGAGGTTCTTGCTCAATTTTTACCTGAAGAATTCCAGATCTTCAGAAAACATACACGCAAAAAAATACAATTTCAAATTCTAGGCTGTAAAATGGTTACACTCGAAAAAAGCAATCAGGTACTAAAAGGCATTACCCTATCAGAAGATACCTGGAAGTCAGTCTCAAACCATAGAGCTTTTCCACTGGTTTTGTATGGACTTGCATCCTACGGCCTCCCTCCATATCCTCCCCAAAACCCTCAAGAATTTCCTCCCACATCCTCAAAACCTGCCTGACCGTCTCAGGGGCAAAACAGTCCTCCTGCAATATGTTTTGAGCAGGGGTACCACAGGCTCCTCCGACTGACTGAAGTTCTGGCACGAAATGGGCTACTTACACGGGTTTCAGAGTCCGCTGGAGTGAGCTCTGAGTGGCCCAGGGCTCTTCCTGGTCTCCTCCCTACACAGGTCACCTCTGCAGCCCCTTGCTACTTAAACCCTCCTGTTTATTCCTAATGTTCTCTTCCTCTCACATCTCCTAAATCAGTCCTTCTGATACCTTCTGATCGCTCCTACACTTTCTAACTTCATCATCTCGTGACTGGAAAGAAAAGCTATCATGAAAGAAACTTCGCAAATCACCTCTGTCATATTTAAAAAAAAAAAAAAAGTATAATCCCATTATACAGGGAGGACTCAGCAGTTGCAAGCATTGTACAGTCAAACTGCTACCATAAAACTGTGGTAGAGCAGAGGTATTTTTATTCATCCAAAAGACAGTCTTTGTTAAACACACAAGAGATTACATTTCCAAATTCTTTCTGCGTTACAAGTATTTGCTATTAAAAATCCAATCACCCTGGAAAAACAGATGAGCATTCTCCCAGCAGCAGGTACTCAAGAAACTGCACCACAGTAAAGAATAGCTATCCTTTCCAATGACATCTGCCATAATGAATCCAGATTTTTAAGCCAAATTTTAAACATAAGTTTTACAGGCCAGGAAAGCCAACCGAAAAGCTGGCCACATGGTGAAACTGGATTTTACCTGGTAGTCGGCCAGATGTTAAAACTGCATTTTAAATGTATGCAATGAAAGTAACAAGCCTTTTATTTGAACTGCCCCATTTGCCCATAGTAACAAAATACTCGAGCGAAAGTGAGAAAAGAAAAGAAACAGGCAAGGTAAACGAAGGAACTGTGTCTGATTTGGAAGCTTCTTTCTGTAGCATACCTTTTCTTCTCAAAAATCCCTTAAAACTAGAAGCATGAAAAGAATTCCAGAGATGTTAATATTAAATTTTAGGCACATTTACCAGGGACACGCCAAGGCATTATAAACTGTTGGGATTATAATCTGTAGCAACAGATTAACTGTTGGATATTTACCTTTAAATAATTCATTGACCATCATCCTACAGCTTCCTAACAGAAATAGGCACAAGAAGTGAAAAGTTACTCTCTAATCTGCAACAGCTCCTAAACTACTGACAGCTTCTCCTAAACTACTCACAGCTTCTCACTGGAGGAAAAAAATCTGGAACTAAAGATAGAAATTACAGACTGTTATCAACTATTTATTTTGCTGCAACTATAAAAACTCAACAGTAAAGTTGGTACTTTTGTGGTTAGACATTTGTTAAACATTCCTTGAACGTTATCTGCTGGGTACCTACCATTAATGAATGAAAAAAGGAAGTATCAGCATTTGACAGACACACCTGTTCTGATGAACAAGGGAGTCGGCTGTTTCAGCTAACATAATAAAGTCAATAGAAATAAGACATCCTTCATGGCAGAAAGAACTTTAGCCTATAATATGGTTATAAGCACCTACAACAGGAAATTGATTACATTATCGTATAACGCGTCTTACAAAAGGAATTTTTACTGCTAAGGCTTTTTAATCAGACAGTAAAAAGCAAAAACCAATGTAGTCTCTACAGTCTGCAATCCATTTGATCAAACACTGCCTCCTCAGAAAATACGAATGTAATCCTGAATCCTCACACGTGCAGACAGAATTAGCAAAAACTGGAATGAGTAGTAAATGAAATGTTTAGAAGAATTAGCAGACATTCTCCAAGGCACTGACAGGATCACAGGTGAAAGTTATCTTGCCTGAAGTCATGAACACCAGTCAAAAGCATTAACAGCTTAGAGGCACCATCATTCTCTTTCATTGTCTTCCAATGCACTGCTTGAATTTTCTTCTAGTTGTCTAATGCTCAATTCCTCTTTGCAACATCAGCCACCAACTAACTCATTAAATCTTTAATAACCTTAAATCAGTGCATCTGCCCAATTTTTTTTTTTCTTTAGGAAGGATATACATAGATAAGTGACAGCTTGCTTTTAGCCTTGGGAATCCAGATCCAACATACACACACACTCAAATAATTTGTTCCGGCTCAGATCTGGTTGAATTATCAACATAATCAGAGATATTCAGAGTGTAGTGCCATCACTTCCATTCAGCAGCATTCCCAGGAAGCGTCTTCATTTTTAATAGCTCCCTCTAATATAACGCTATAGGCAAAGAACT